TCCTGGGATGCTTCACTGGAAGTGTTGAAACCATCTTTTAGGAGTCTTGTACTATGAAGGAGTATCTGCTCACATTATCAATATTTCAAGCATCCTGCTTGATGTTTATTAGATCTCTTTGGTTACAGGAATGTTTGCAATTTAGTAGTAGTTATCTAATTTATAACTTTTATATTATGATCCAAAACAGTTTAAGTAATGATAAATCAGCACCATTCTCCTTAATATTTTCTTATGCTGGCAAATAAGCAATTGACTTTGAAAAATAGAAGGTAAAATATTTAAAAGAAATAATTATTGGATATCAGTTTGTATTCCTATAAAGAGAAGAGGCCAGTAGAAACTGATATTAGACTTACCCAAACTGACAAATGGAAACGTAATTTAGAAAAGCCATACTGAAAAACTCTACTGCTTTTATGATTAATGCAGCATGTCCGGCCTCTGCTAAATGCTAAAATGAAATATGAAGTTTTGACCTGTATTAGATATGACATTACTTGAGGTAAAACTAGCAAAGAGACAAAAAAAAAAAAAAAAGTTAATTAAAGAATGTAAGCTTAGTTCCTAATCATTTCCTAATTCAATACTACATTTACATTTGGTATCTCAGTGTCAGAAGAACCAGGGGAGGGGAGGTCTATGGCTCATAACAGTCATTTTTTATATAAAGCCAGAAACCATATTGTCATTTGAAAAATGAGCCAAGAGCAAAATTTGACAGACAAAAAGAGAGAAGAGTGAATTTTTCAGCCTGGAGGCTCTGCAAGTTTTCCAGAGACAATTCTTGTGTGGATTTTTATTTCTATGAAGTAGCAGATTCAGTTGAAGGTGCAATATGGATAACTCTTTGTCTTACAAATCTAAGCAAATTTGGGAATCTTAGGAACTGGCTGGGCATATCAGTTTGCAAGAGTCATTTTAGGTGCTTGGATTTTCAAGAAAATAGGGATAAATCCTCTCTATCACATGCTTTCCAATGCTATTACGAAAAGGGACAGCTTGCAATTGCAGGAAATACCAAAGTTCTTTTGGAAGTGAAAGTATCGAGATCTTGGCACTTAAGACTACACTGAAAGAGTTGGGGTTGTTTAGCCTGGAGAAGGCTCAAGAGCAGCCTTATTGCAGCCTTTCAATAAGTGAAGGGGACTTAACAAGAAAGATGGGGAAAACTTTTTAATAGGGCCTGTAGCAATAGGACAAGAAGTAATGATTTTAAACTAAAAGAGTGTAAACTTAGATAAGATGTGAGGAAAGATTTTTTTTTTTATTATGAGGGTGGCAACACCAAGAGAAGTGGTGGATACCTGATTCCTGGAAACATTTGAGGTCAGATTGGATGGGTCTCTGAACAACCTGATCTAGTTCCAACTCATTGCAGGGGTGTTGGATTAGATGACCTTTACAGGTCCCTGCTAACTCAAACCATTCTATGATTCAAATGAAATAAAGAGTGTTTATTGATAGTATTTATGTAAATTTAAATTAATTTCACAGTGTCAGCTGAACAGGACCTGTACAGAAACACCAAGGATACTGAAAGGTCTTTTGCCACGGTACAAAATGCCAAGGTATTTTGTCCAGGTGACTGTCCAGAGAGAAAAGAAGATTTGGTGAGAAACCTGAAAGCTGCAGCAGAAGCTAAGCTTCATGTTCAGTCAGGTCATCAGCCCACTTTGGTCGCTGCACAGCAACATTATGATTAACTTTGTCCCAGGGAAGATGTCAGGGAGAATACAGATATGGGATACATGAGGCACAGGAGGTTTGCACCAACATTTACACAGTCTTTTCAAAGAAAATTCTCAGGGACTGTCTGTCACACAGAGTTACATTTGAGGAAGAGGTTTCCACTTTCCACTTCAGTAGCTGTCTCATTTTCAGGCAGACAAGGTCCCACTTGCCAGACATTCATTAGGAAATTTGTCTCTTGTCAGGTCTGTGTACAAAATATATTTCTTCAGTGAGTGATAGGGAGAAGGCCTCACCCCTGGATCACCAGCATCACTAGCTGAGCCCAGGATTGCTGGCAGCAGCTGGTGGGGGAAGAGGGGTCCCTCAGGCTGGCTTTTCTGCCAGACTGCTGCAGGAGGCAATGATACCCTGTGACACCAGGCATTTTTTATAATTACTATGGCACTAGCTCTGTAGTTCATACGTTAAATGTCTGTCACTAAAGATTCATCATTCCAAGCCTGAAGATCTGTCACCTCAGGGACACATAACAGAAAATAGTTTTTGTTCTACCTTCAAAAAGAAACTACTGTAGAAAACTTTTGCTGCAACGTCAACCGTCAAAAGTTAGACACCTTTTGTCCACAGTAAGAAAGACACTGCTTATGCAACTCCATACTAGTTTTGTCACATAACCTAAGCATCATTAATGTAAAGAATACATACACAAGGCAGCATAATTAAGATTGCATAAGATTGTAAATCTGCCATCTTTTGGGTTTGAGCTTAAAACCTTTCTAGCTGAATTTACATCCACTACCTACAAACAATTCCTAACTGTGCATTCCATGGTTTTATCCCAAAAAGACAGGGACTCGAACAGATGCTGATTGAGCAGCTTCCTGACTTCAAAAATGAAATATCATCAGTATATGAAAGGGTTTATTTTATTTGGTACTCTGCAAGAGTAGAGGACTGGGCTTGGTGAAGAAGAAAGGTCACTCCTGTTTCTGTGTTCCTAACAGATCATAATTTAGCTGAAGATTAATGTCAATGCTAACACGTTTATTTATGGATAACTACTTAGTGGCCTTTTACTTTTCTGTTCCTTCTGCAGCCATTGATGGAAACCAGCCAGACATCTCTGGGTGAGTTCGTGGGTGAATTCTCTCTAGCAACATCATTTATATTTGGTAAATGCAGTTTAATTTGAGAGACTTTTTTATAGTCTGTCATTTACTACTTGTGGTATTCGTAATCTATTTAATAGTGGGGACTAAACAAGTACTTGAGCACACTAGATTGAGGGTGTTTAGGGAATCCACATTTAGGGTGTGTTCCCAGACAGGCAGTGCCAGGGAGTGATGCTGCTTTTTTCCTGATTGGCAAAGGTGCAGGAGCTTGGCTGCACGGGCTGTGCATGGGCTGGGAGCTTTCCCAGCAGCCAGTTCATCACCTCAATTTGCTCAACAGGCCTGAACTGCACTGTTGCTGCACAAATCTGTAGACATGCTTGGGCGGCAATGCAGAACCTGTTAAGGTGTTAACTGTTCAGAAGTTTATAACTACCTTTAGATGAGGCAAAATCTGCAGCAACCACATATAAAAGGAGTCCTTGAACATGCAATCCATGGGATCTAACAGCCCTTGTGGGTGGTTTTGCCTAGAACACCGCTCTTCAGTGGATATTAGGCCTGAAATATTTTTCTTATAAAATAGAGGGTCTTCTCTAGACTAAAAAACATTGACAGAAAGAAGCAGCAAGGAACTCATGTGTCTGTGCTGTAAGGATTACACAACTTTCTGTCATACACATTGACTTCAGATATACTAATTTTTATTATCATTATATTATACCTAATATATTATACTATTATTATACCTTCATGACTACACCCAATATACCTAGTGGCAGCAGTTAAACTTCTAGCTGCTAACCAGCATCTCATCGGTCATGGTGTGAGTAAATGTCTCCTTTTTAGCTTTCTTACTTCCCATTTCTGCCACTTAAAATCAGTTCAAAACCCAGCTGCAAACTTAGTCTCTGTTCTCACAATGTTATGATCTCTGTTTCCACAGCCCCCTTCTTGTGAGCTGGACTCCCTGCCCCAACCCTCTGCCAAATCGTGCCTAGATGTGTCCTAGATGCTCCTTCCTCCAGTCCCACTGGGGGGATGTGGCAGCCTCTCCTCAGGGCTGCAGACCAGGCCCTCACACCTGGCTGCCAACACACCTGCACTCCTGAAAGCCTGGGCCTCACCACAGCCACACAATCCCCAGCCTCTGCTGTTTCTTGTCTGGCAGTGCCTCTGTGCACACAGGAACACTGCTGGCACCTCTTACTTGCCAGCCATCTTGCAGGCTGCCTCCAAAGATCTGGGATGTTCCAACAGCAGCTGCACCTTCTCTCCCACAAAATTCCTCTTGGAAATGTAGCAAGCACGAATCCAGGCTAGTCTACTGCCTCCTTCACCCAGCACTGCAGAAAGCAGAGTACAGGTATCATGACTGTTGAATTGTACCATCCACTTTCTGTTTAATCCTCAGAACATCCTCTCTAATCAAAAGCACTTCTTTGAAGTTTTGGTAGTGAGACCATCACTTCCTGTATTTTGCAGGAATAGGAATGTTAGGTGCTCAATAAATGAGCTAAAAATAAGAGAATAGGTTTATATTCTGCCATATATGCAGGAGAATTTCTGTTTAGTTCCTCAAGTCTTTGTTCAATTGGCTGTGCCTGAACACTCCTTCTCCTGCAAGAGGCACATAGGGGAAGAAGTACTTAAAAACAGTAAGAGGAACAGGTTCTTCTTAAAGCAAGACTCAGAACATAAACTATCACTTATCGATGTGATAATCGATATGTCATTGTTCAATAGCACTAACAATATGGTGTTTTTCAAATGTCATGTTCAATAAGAATACTGTGTTCAAAATAAGAATACTGACTTAATTTTTCATTTTTTTTCTCAGTCAAACAACTTTGGCCCAAATTCTGTAAAACACCCAAGTATTGAGCTCATCACTGCCTGCTCTGCCACAGTCTTTTAAAGAGTATCCTTCACAGCCAGAGTGAAAAGGCGACTAAATGGGTCAGGATTACCCATTGGTAAACAAAACGAAGCATTTCAAGTTTACTTTAGAATTTAAATAAAGAAGAAATTTCAAAGCAGCATTACTATTTTTCAAGCTTTGGCGGAGCTGCAGACGATCGCACAGCCGGTAACACTGAGTTCATTCATGCCCGGGACAAACACCCGCACTGTGCCACCTGAGGACGGCAGCGGGGCGCCCCGGGAGGCAGCGGAGCGGGGCGGGGCCGGGCACACCCGGGGCAGCGCCCGCGCCCCGCGCGGGGAGAGAGGGCGGCCCTGCCCAGCCCCTGCCCTGGGGGCGGAGGGCCGCGGAAGCCTTTGCCTCCTCCCCCGGCCCTGGCAGCCACAGGAGAAGCAGGCGGCGGTCGGAGTAGCGGCTCCGCGGCCCCAGCCCTGCCCCAGTCGCCGCTGCCGCCCTGAGATGCCGCCCGCCGTCCCGCCGCTGCTGCTGCTGCCGCCTCTGCTGCTGCTGGCGGCCGCGCGTCCCGCCGCCCCCCCGCACAGGTACCGCGCTCCTCTGTCCCCGCGCGGCTCCCGCGTCCCCTCCCCTCCCTTCGTCCCCCGCAGTCGCGTTCCCACCGTGCCTCCGTGGGGTGCGCGGGTGTTTCAGTGCCCGTGACTGCATCAAGGCAGGAGCGTTTCCCACGGAACCCGGGACTTCGCGAGAGCAGCCCGGTGCCGGGTAGGCTGTAACCTCTCTCACATAACAGTACAATAGGGTGAGGCATCCCGGTGGCTAAAGCTCGGCAGGGCGTTCGCTCACCCTCGTGTCCCCCGCAGTAGCAGGGGTTCCATACAGCTTTGCCAGGGTTTCTCGCGTGTCCGTGCAGCGTGTCCGGAGCCGGCACCAGCACCTGAGCTGAGCACTGAGCACAGCTGGGCCACAGGGCTCAGCACGGGGTGGGTTGTGCTATTGAGGTACAAAAAAGTACCAGAGACTTCCTTGATTAAAACATATGAATTCAAAGCATAGAAAGGAATGAGAAATAATTTTTATATCAGTGCTATTTTAACTACTATTATATGTACTATAAAAAGTCATTGCTAATGACTTCTTAATAATTAATTTTCTTTATATAATAATTATAATAGCAATTTACAATGATATATCACATTGGCACACCACTGCTCTTAGGAAGTAAAAAAGGAGGGAGAGATGTGCTGACCTAAAATTAAGGCCTAAGTAGTTAATTTTTCCTACACCTAAGTTCACATGTTAGATTGCATATCCTATGTCAATAGTGATTTTATGTAAAAGATTAGAAATATTCCATGTTAGCAATGGCTTTAAATATTTAAGCTGTTGAGACAGTTTGTGCTTCTTATACAAAGAATAAATGAATTTTTTTTCTATTATTTTCAGGCCTACATTTACATGTGGAGGAGTTGTATCTGGAGAGTCAGGGTTTATTGGGAGTGAAGGATTTCCTGGCGTCTACCCACCAAACAGCAAATGTACTTGGAAAATCACCGTAAGAATTTTTAATACCACAAAATCAGTGCTGAAGACAATGAACAGCTATTTGTTGTTAAACAGTGTTTTATGTAGGGTAACATATGTGCAATAATGAACTCAGTAACTCAAAGTAGCTCAACTATCTGGAGCTTTTTAGGGTTGATGTAATATGATAATAGTGGCTGAAACAGAACTGGCCTTGCCTCATATCAGAAGGAAATTTTCATTGACTTCCTTGATGCACCCCTAATTGTTTTAAATTAACTCTCCCCTTCTGTCACTGTGGAAAGCAATAGTGAGTTCTGTCAAAGAAAAGATTTGAGGTGGCGAATATGAAAAGCAAAATTTCTTGGCAAGAAGACATATAAAAAAAGTTTCAATCAAACCCAAAAGAATTCAGGCAGGTTTGCTTGAAGTAGCAGTGTTCTGCCAGCCAGGACATCTGGAGCCTGTCATACAGCAGGCTGACAGCAGTAGGGAAGTGTTGTTACATTTATAAATGACTATGTGAAATGGAACCATGTGGTACAATTGATATTTTGATGCTGAAAAGAGACTGTAGGGCAGAGATATCATATTCATGGACAACATATTCCACGAAACAACTAGGACTAAATACTCCTGTTCTGGATGTCCTTATCCACAGACTCAGAGAAGTGGATGTGAGTGAATGATTACTCTTCCTCACATCTGCACAAATTAAACCCTCTGAAACTGCCCACCAAATTTCCTCTCTTTTTTAGACATGGTTCACCAAGAACTCTTCTGACATTTGGGCCTACAGAAAAAAATAAGAAGGCATAAAAAAATAAGTTAGTCTGTGTGTTGACAGGATCACTAAAGACAACTTCGGCTGAAAGACTGCATCACAGGCTAGGTGTTGGAGGAGAATAGGATGTCACAGGATAATTGTTTCCTGCTACTATAGAGATGCTGACGCAAAGCAGGAGGCATTGATCTGTTTACAATGTTCAGTTTAAAACAACTCTCGTACCAAATGAGTGATGTGCTTTTAATCATTTTATCTGAAAGAACCCAGTGAAGCTGCAGAGTTGCTTTCTGCACCTTTCTGTTGCATTGTTACTGGGGCCTAGTTAGATGTTACCTTTGATCCCTGTCTGACCTCATCCAGAAGAGGATGTGAAACATGGTGCGTGCCCATAAAGTTGCTTCCTTGCTGTCGAGGGGCTGAGGTGACAGCAATCAGCATGGCCCACCTTGCAATCTGAAGAGCAGATGCAAATTGCATTTGGAATCATACACACATGCCTTAAATAAAAGGGAAAATCACACAAAATTAGTTTACCAGTACAACTCATTATTAAATGTTCAAAAGTTCAAAATTGAATCTGCAGGGAGATAATAATTTTGCTTATAACAGCATGACATTTTTACCACTAAAAAGCTAACAAATGGAGGCAGCACTAAAGAAGCAATTACTGAATCATGCCATGTATCTGCCCTTCATATATGGGAGGTAGAGGGAGAAGAGAACAAATTATTGTACTTAGAAAGTCCACACAGAGTGGTTTAATTGCAGACTTTATGTGGCTGTTGCTAACAAGATGCCAGCATCCAGGTGAGCCTGGGCACGGTGAAAAGCATTTCTACAAAGCTGTAGCAGAGCTGTGTCTACACTTGAGCTTTCTTGACAAGGGGAGGAACTTGATGGCTTCTGTCATTTCATGATCACCCTGACTCCCACTTTTCTGCTGTGCTGCCATTTGACTGCCTCCTGCTTATCCTCTGTAGTTTGCCCAAAGCCAGAGATGGGCTGCACAACTGGAGTAGTCCAGGCTTGCTTGTGCCCTCAGCCAATTTAACCCCCGTTTTATTAAAAATGTTGATTAAGCCAAGCTGATTTCTTTTCCCGCATCAACTGTAGAATGCTCTGTGTCTTTTGGGTGTGCAAGAAGGGTGTAGGGAAGGCAAGGACTAATAAACCTGCAAGACTAAGCCTGTACTCTCTTTAAAAAGATCATGGTTTACCAAACTGTGGCAAAGTGGTACACTCAAGGGTCTGGTTAGCCTGAATTTATACAACAAAATCCTTTCACCAAATGTTACTGAAGCTCAGAATAGCTTGCAATAGCACCCAAGTAAGCAAGCCAGTTACACTGCCATGAAGAAATACTCTGTAGTTACTGTTAGTCTTCCTCATTTAGCATCTGGTCTTAGAAAGTGACTAAGACACATTTGCCTGTCCGTTTTAGCCAAGGGCTGTGAACACCTTTCTGAAAACACTCTGCTAATACAGGATCTGACACGTGTGCAAGACTGATAGAGACGTTGATTCCCTTTGTGTCTGGGTCACAAGAAGCGTGAAGCTCTTGTTTTCTCAACTACAGGATCTCATCAGCTACACAAGAAATGCAGAAAGAAGGGCAGAATGAGAGCTAATTCATTCTTTGGAGGAAAACAGGCTTAGAAAACATTACAGGTAATACAGATAAAGCAATGTAGCATTCAGGTGTCATCTGAAATCTTTCCAACTAGTTTGCTGAAGCTGGAAGAGTCTAACTCAATTATGGTTCTGTTATTTCAAGGGACTGGGACTTTTTCAGCTGGCTAAAGAAAACAGCTTCTCTATTCTAAGAGCTCTAAGAAGTGTTCAGCACATGCTTGTGGTTCTATTACAGCCTTGGCAGACTACCCAGCAGCTTTTCACTGGCTTTGCTAAGTCATTTGTACAGCTATTTCCTTTCCTATAGTGATGTATATAGCTTTATCTGAAATATGTCATATACACTTACTTTTAATACTCTGTAATCCTTCTTGGCCATCACCTCACATAAATGTGTCACATAGTCTGAGAATCTGGACTGCTGTCCCATGTTTTTCTGGCAGACTGCTTAGTTCCCATAAAACTCCAACAACTTTATGTGCAACAATAACACTGGAAACTGTCAGAGTTATGTAAGGTTATGTTTTTATATGTTCAGGAGCTGCATTCCAGCAGGTTTACTGACAATAAGCAAAGTTTGAAAAATTTACTTATCAGGGCAGTTGAGAATCTGCCCTGAGGGAGCAGAATATTTTAAACAATTTTTTCTATGTTTTAAGTGTTCATTTTATTATGTCTTTGTAAAATTGCCCTTCCAGTAGAAAACAGGTCTTTACACATTGGTTGTATTGCCAGAAAAGAAAAAGATGAGCAGACTCCAGTGCCCTTGTCAGAGCAAGCTAATACAAATTTTTAAAATTGGAGATGGAGATAGAGAACAAGCAACTAGGCAGAAATCATGGTTCTTCCCAGGATGTAACTCCAAATAACTTCTACATTCATTCTCAGTAGAGACAAATAATACATTTGGCTTGCAGGTAGCTGATGTATTTTTCAATTCTGCTTGGGACTGCTAAGCATACAATCAGCATTTTTGTATTAAACATATATCAAAATATATTCAACCCAATACAGGTTTAAAAGTTAGTCAAAATATATTTGTGAAATCTGGCATTTAAGGGGTTTCCTCCCTTCAAAGTAAATACCATGTAATTTTGATGAAGAGGGCTTTGTATTCAGTCAGAACAACAGGAAAGCAGCATCACTAATGGTATCTGAACTTTGGTTAGCATTATATGAAATATCTGCAATGAATGATAACCAAAAACAATCTCAAGACCTTATTTTGAGATGTGTTGTATATGTGGAATAATCATGCCCTTTTGAAAAGCTTAGTTATCTACACAGATTATTTTAGGGAATTATGCTCTATAAAAACTCCCTCTAAAAATTTATTTAGCCTTCCATAGGAGTAAGGCATCCTTTGCATTAGTTCAGCATCACAATTTTTTGAACCTAAATAAGTGTCCCTTCTTTGTGACTAGGAAAGGCAGACGATGAAGTGCCTCTGTTGTTGAAAAATACCAGCTGGATGGATAAAACAAAAATAAGGCACACCCTGCAGAGGAAGCATCACATCATTTTTCCTTTGACTCCTCCCTCTTTTTTTTTTCTTTTTTTTTTTTTTCTCCTTTTCTTTTAAGAGCTGAATCCCTTCCAGTTCTTCCTCTGAGGTATCCCATCTTACTGCATCAGGCTCAGATGTGGCTCAAAGTAAACAATACTGAGTCATGCTGGCCTTTGCTTGCTCCCCCGTGTTTCTCATGGAACAATATTTTAAATGTCCTGGGACAATCATTGGCAGATTTTAGCACATTAGTTCTCAACATTTAAAGAAGTGAAATGGTAAAAATCAAAGAAAAGTACAGTTATGCAAAGATGCCTGTATTTAGCACAAGATTTCTTGGGAGTAGCTGCAAAGTGGAACAGCTGCTGCCAGAATGTGGAACCACCATTCTCTGCACTTCTAATTGTCATCTACTCAGACCACAAAATTTGAACTGATTTTAACATACTGGAACAAATTTGTTATTTTTGTGAATGATAAATATTTTAATAAGCGAGTCTATTTTTAAAATAACAGTAATAGCAGTAAGTAGTGACTGTAACTAAAGGCCTGCCACATTTCTCTAAATTACTTACCTCCCCAAATTCAGCTAAACCTGAGCAAGGATTATTCTGACAACTAAAACCTGCAGCAGGCTCCAAGTTAAACGTTCATGACCACGTGGCTGAGATTTTCCTACACATTTTTTTACAGACTGTCATGAACAGAAGTCAGTACCTCTATGGGGAACAGTCTTGACCAAGTTCAAATAGACTAAACTGACAGAAGCAGAGATTAAAAGCTGCAACAAAATGTATAGTATAGTATAGTACAGTATAGCCAGTGGTGAAGAGAGGAGAAGGAAGCAGAACACTGCACAGAATGACTGATATCATGAACCAGAAAACCTAAGTAAGACTTGAGTGAATGAATGGCTAGATTCAGTTTGGGGTTTGGCAGCTTTGCCAGTGTCCTCTCCCTCCTGAGCAGGGCTCTGTCCCATGTCCTGTTTCCCTCTGTCCCCATGTGGCGGCAGGAGAGTGGCATGTCCAGGGGCAGGAGTGAGTGCCTTGGGGCTGGTGTGAGTAGAGCAGTGCTGGGTCAGTGCACTCCTGGAACAAAGCTGTCAGTGAGCACCCTCAGCACTACTGAGCACTAACCACTTAGCTGAATCTGATGCAATTCTACAGGGACAGCAAAGACTTTTTTTACCCCAGAACCAGCCACCTCTCACATTTCCACTTCCTTCTTCAAACTCTGGGAGAGAGCAGATATATTCAAAGAAGCAATTCAGGCTGAGAAAATAGGGAAACAACTCATAAGCACTGATAAAACTGTTTAATCTAATATGCTAGAGCAACTTCTGCTCAGCTTTCAAAAACAGGGGAAGGAAAAGGGGAAATATCTTAAAGATGGGCAAGCTTTAGCCAAAGCTGCAAGACACTGTTGTGGAATATGTTGGACAAACTTAATTGTAGGCATGATAATTTATTTTAAAACACAATAACCTTTAAAGGTCACCCCATTTGCATCCTGTCATACCAGTTGTCCAAACTTATGAAAATGACTGTTCCACCCCAAAAGAGCATATGCTATTTTACATACATACTTCTGGAAAAAAGGCTTCTGTCATCTAACTGCCTGAATTTGACTTTATCTAACTAATTTTACTGTCAGCATTTCTGAATTGACTTGTCCAGTCACACAGACTTTTGTAGTACAACTGTAAATATTATTCAGATCTTCTGGCAGGAATACCAAATGCATTTTAGCTCATTTTATGTTAAAATGACCAAGCCTTAATGCTCCTTAGTGATTCAGACCAGAAGACAAGTGAATGCAATAAGAGATTTAGATATGAAAGCAGTGATTCAAGGAATAAATTCAAGATTAGGTGAGTTATTGTGGTTTTGTAGTAGCAGTGATCTGTATCAGCACAGGGACCCTGAATGCATTTTTGCGAACTTTGAACTTAAAAGGAAAATTCTCTGAAACCAGCAGCAGGCACTGCAGTGGAGCTGGTCAGGAAATGTGCACATGGACCCTGGGCAGCTGAGAACAGCTCAAGCAGAAGTCTGTCCTGCTGCAGGATCAGTATCAGCCCTGGACATAAAAGCAGCCACATGAAAGAGTAACCTGAACACAGCTGCAGCACATTTTTCAGTACATCCAGAGCTGCTGCCTCTATCAGTATCTTCTGTGGGTTAAAGCAGTCACTTCCATTTATAGCACTTCCATCTATAATTGACAAGCAATTTTTAACTGTTGAGACTCAATGTTAAAACAGTTTGACAATTTCAAATAGGAACAGTTTAGTTTCAGTTTATTTCAGACCAGTGTTTTAAAATGAGTCACTGTTAAGGAATGAAAAAAAAATCATGAACTCTTAAATAACGTGGCTTAAATATGAACTTAATGCAGATATATTAAGTGTATGTTTAAAGCAGAAAATTATAGTAGTGTCTCAGTAAAGCAGAACAGCTGCAATTATTTTAATAGCTAACCACTCTACCATGATATGGATTGAATGCAGATTATTACACTTGCCTGTCTAGGGTCTCTATACTTCAAAATACTGTTTTCCTTCTTCAGCTCTGTTACACAGCATTAGGTGCTTTATTAGAATAGTTTTCACTTCTCAGTATGCTGATTTTTCTCATAAAAGCTTGTAACTGTATCCCAGGAAATGTTCTCCTCCTTGTAAACTATTATGTTGTCTTAATTTACATCCTTCTGTGTACTCCTGTCTCTTTTGCAATGTCCACAGATGCAGACATGTAACAAGATTTGCCCTATGTTTCCTCAGATGTTTCAGAAAACAAAACTCTCTTCTATATTGAGGACACCCACTAGTGGTTCTTTTGAATTCTCTGTTTATAATTTTATATTGTCTTTCCAAATAGAATTCTTTCACTGCATCCACTCCAGTAACTAAATGTTAGGGTTGTACAGTGTTAGCCATAAAGTTTCCAATTTTATTTATAAATGTAAGATGTATGTCAGTAAATTAAAAAACTCTTTCAAACTATGAAACTTGGTAACATAAATCAGAAAGAGAGGCCATTTCATTTGTTTAAAATTCTAAATTGCTTGTTTCATATTTTTTTCATATTAATCTCATCCTCCTCACCTTGCTTGGTGACAAGGAGCTGCATGGCTGATTCCACACTTTCAACAGAAAATAAGAGAAGCACACCAAGCTGAACTGGTTTATAATTAACTGCATGAGCCTGACCAGCAGGTACCCTCCATCAGAAATAAGATAATGGCAAGAGATGACCAGAGCTTTGTATTAAGGATGGGTCCAAGTTACTTTAAAAACTGCTGTGCCTGGAATATAGTTGACAAAAAGAGCTCATCTGACAGGAGGTGAAGGGTATGAAAACACCTCCAAAACAATGGGATCTGGTAGATATGTGGTCACACTTCCAGATGCATGTCTCCCTCCTTCCCTCTCTCTGCAGGTCCCAGAGGGGAAGGTGGTGGTTCTTTCTTTCCGGTACTTGGACCTGGAAAGCGACAATCTGTGCCGCTATGACTTTGTGGATATATACAGCGGCCACGCCAATGGCCAGCGCATCGGCAGGTTCTGTGGCACTGTGAAGCCAGGTGCCCTGGTATCCAGCAGCAATAAGATGTTGGTGCAGATGACTTCAGATGCTAATACTGCTGGGAGTGGATTCATTGCGAAGTTTTCTGCAGCAGAACCACACGAAAGAGGTAATTAACCATTATGTATGTGCTGAAGACAAATATAACTCGGCTCTATCCAGAGCCACATTAATGCTTAAAAAGATGTGGTGCCAGAGATATTAAGGATTGTGCTATTCAGCATATTTATTAAGTGTAACTGGTTAGCCATCTTAGTTCATCAAGTAGTAAAGAGAAAAGCTGACAAGTCTAAGAGTAGTGGAAGAACTGTACCTAGTAGTAAAGTGGTAATAGCTAGTCATTAAAAGGGCAAATGAAATTCAGTATAGATAAATGTTGCATATAAGGGGAAAACACCCTAACACAAAGTTTTGGAACTCACTGTTTTGGACTCACTGTTTTGGAATGAGATTTTAGGTTTAAAGTAGATAATTTATGAAAACAGTAGTTGAGCATCAATTCAGTGCTTAATAGGTATCAAAAAATAAACCGAAAATTAATAATTTTTAGAAAAGAAAATAAAGACCAAACAATAACAGCAAAACCCACGCCATTATAAATCCATAATGCATGTACATCTTAACTAAAGTGTGCCTTTCTGATGTTCCCATCTGAGAACTGAATATGATGAAATTATCGGAAGGAATCAGAGACAAGTATGATAGAGTTAAAAGAACATCACATACACAAAGATCAACTGCACTGCATGAACTTCTTCATGATGGAAAAGAGAAAGTCAAAGGGACTGTAGGAGAGGGCTTTGAAGTCATGACTGGTGTGGAGGAAGTGACCGAGGACCTCAGTCCATCTCTTTCAATATAAACACAGATGAGCAAGCGGCTGCAAAGGAAAGGAGAGGGTGATTTTTCTCTGTGGCCTGTGAAGCAGTAGAACACTGTACCAGGGGACATTGTGGATTGTCTGTTTCTCCCCTGAATTAAAAACACTTACACAAACATATCAAAGCAAAATTCATCAGGTATTACTAAATATAAAGGCATTGCCTGGTACTTGGGAAGAGTATGGACAGTGAGGTCACAGGGAGGTGGTATTGCCCTAGTTAGTGACTCTTTTTCAAGGCTTTTGCTATTGGTATGATACCCGACCAGATGGGTTGTTGGGCAGAGGCAGTGCAGGTGATGAGTAATTTATCAGGCCTTCCAGTTGTAACCTTGTATTGAATGATACATTAAATAACTGTGACCAGATACAGTTAATTTAACGAGAAGGTTCATAGTAATATTGTAAATAAGGATTACACACCTGATGGAGTTTTCAATTTGGAGCTGAGGGCAGGAGATGGGGAAGAAAAAGACCCCTCTCCATCAAGAACACTCCACAGGCTGCAGTTCCTTTGGGAGTGCCTGTCGGCCCCACCATGGCTGCCTGTGGGCTGCAGGGATGCAGTACCTGCAGTACCTCCAGTACCTGCGGCTTCTCCCCCTCCTCCAGTGTTTGCAGGAACGCTTCTCCGTCTTTGTTTTGCTGCCGTTTATTAGCCGTGTTTTCCCAGAGGTGCTCCCAGCTGGGGCGGAGGGCTCGGCCTGTGGGGCTGTGGCGGAGGCCCCCGAGCCTCCTGCCGCGCCTCAGCGGCGCTCAGGGCCCGCGCTGTGCTGCTTTGCAGGGGACCAGTACTGCGGGGGACGGCTGGAGAAGCCCTCGGGCTCCTTCCACACGCCCAACTGGCCAGAGCGGGACTACCCCGCGGGAGTCACCTGTTCTTGGCACATCGTGGCCCCGAAGAACCAGGTAAGGCGCTGCCGTGGCCCTGCTGGCACAGCTCAGCTTCCAGCGCTCGCAGGGAGCCCCACCTGAGAGCAGGGGCTGCCCGGGCTGGCCCGGGACACTGCGGTGGCACCCGGCCGGCGCAGCGAGCACGGGCACGGCCGCGCTCCGGCCGTCTGCCTTCTGCTCCCCCATCGCCCCGGTGACTCCTGTGCTTCCTCAGCAGGGCCACGCACGGGTACGCCCCGAAATGAAACCCATTTAAGCATCTGTTACTGCTGAGGCTTTTAAGCCAAGGAGGGTTTGAACATTATTTTCTTAATTTAAAAAATGCCATGCAAATGAGGTCAGGGCATGTGATCATCTCAGCACCAAACGTGATGATGACCAATGCTGCATTTAAGTCTAACAATGTTTGAGCATTTTTGGTGTTTCTGCAGTTTACTATTGAGGCACCCAGGTGGAGCTGATTGAATTTAATAAAAGCAGTTTGTTCTATTTCATATTTTGAAGGCTCCGTCACATAACATGCTTGCTTAATTAGCCAGATGCCATGCGAGCATATGTCACCACTTCATTAGGAGCCGAGGAGATGTGACAGCAGACTGAGAGGGCTCTTGTGCCACGCATGGCAAACACAAGTGTGTTCCCTACACTGCAGGGCAAATCTCAATCCTAGCTGCACATTTTTTGGTTGCTGCTGAACCATCTGCTTTGTACCATAGCAGGAGGTCTACAGTTATTGAATGTTTTGGTTGACAAGCATGTTTGGTAGGTTGCTTTTCTTGCCACATTCAGCTTTTAAAATTCATTTACATATAAAGATGACTTTCCTCTTCATCTTCCGCTCATGACTAATCCTTGAAATAAAAAAAGCTGCCCCAGATAAATATATTCTTCTGATCTTTCCTACTTTTGCATTTACCAAGACAGTTCCTCCCTTGAACTGAAGCAGTATGTCAGCTTAGTCTCCTGTATTCCTTTTTAATGTACGTTCCTTGTTTGCTAGATACAGGCCATTTAACAATCCTATAGATAGGCAGTGATTTTTAAACCCTTATCTGTAAACTGCAGATTACTTTGGTTCTTTCCAAATGTCTCTAGATAAGCCTAAGAACTTTTCCTAAGCTCATAGAGAAGATTTGAGAAAGGCCATATCAGCATAAAAATAAGGGCATTATATCCTGTGCCTTTTGATGATTTTATTCCATACATCTACCTGTTTCCAAATATATATTATTCATGTACTGCAACAGTGGTTGTTTGCATGGAAAAAAGGCAGAATTTTGACAGTGCCATTTTCCATTAATTAGTGAATAAGTATCTCTCTTCAAGTGCACAGAAAAAGCTCCCCAGTCTTCCATTTACCAGAATTTAGGTGGTGTTGTTTCTATTTCCCTTTCATAAGCATGTGATCAATAAAACAAGGCACTCTTGTTTTGTTGCTTCAAATACAAACCAATAATTACTTAATTTATTACACAAGATGAAGGAGCTTCTCCTGATCATGAAGAGCTTCTATTCTACTATGAAATACTTATTAGTGCAAAGTGCACTTATTGAACAATAGTGAAGTAGATATTATGGCCTGCTGTTTTGCCTGCTATGGAAAAATTTAGCATTTCTATTCCCAGTTGCATTACTTTCTTGTGATCTTTTTTCATCACAAGCATGTTATTCAGATGGGTATTCCATTTAAAGTGCATTTTTTCATCATGATACTGAGGGTTTGAAACAAGCCTGTTAGTCATCTCTGAAATCACGTCCCCCAAGGTTACTCATACTTGATGGGAAACAAAATTAACAAAATTATTCCTTAAATATCTTAATAGTGCAAAACTATATCCAAGACATCAGGTGATAACAGGCTATCATTACTATGAATGTAGAACATGATAACTTATGCTATGTAAGTAATCAAGTAAAGTACATGCCATATAGTACAAATTACTTTTTCTTTGTACAATCTTAGAAGATTTAATACCATCATTCTTTGAGTCAGATCTTTATAAAGGTTGATCTACAATCAGCATAAATCAGTCGTGTCATTCAAGCTCTATTTGTGCTATTTATGGGAAGATGATTTAAATACTGTTGTGCTTCATCTAAAGAGGCAACATAAATGCATATATTACCTCTGTTTCCATGCAGCAGTTAGGTTGTGTTTCCCTTCCTTGCCACACACGACTGACAGAGTCATTCTGCAGGACTTCATTTCAGATTAGTAGATTACATTTCTGTTTTCTTGTACATTGGGTTTTTTTTTTCCTGAAGTAGAAAATTCCAAACCTAAAAGTCACTGGAGATAATAGCATAAGTACTGCAAAAACCAATATGATACTAGTTCACATTTATACATGTAAAGCCTCAACAATTATGAAAATCTGACATAGAGACACTATTCCTTTCAGTACTTACTTTCTCTTGGGTTTAGTTTTACTATTTGCTAATTTTCTTTCTATCAACATTTCAATTTCTAATGTTTTTAATTCTGCATCAAATATACACAGCATTGGCAACCACAGTGATTTAGGCCCTGCTGTTAATGAAGTCAGTGAAATGCCTCGTATCAACTTTGCCTTTGCTTTTTCTTTAGCATATCTTGAAAGATGCAATGATATTAAAAGCTCCTTTTCTGTTGCTTACACTTGCTGTAGTTATTTTAAGAGCCTTGTAACACCTAACACCTACTAACAACTTTATGAGAAGTTACTTGCATACATTTGAGAAGAAAATGTTTTACAGAATGTTAGAGTCGTATGCTGAAATATTAGTTGGAGAGGTCATGTGGATTAAAATACTTTACAATTAAGTGGATTAAGGAATTTTCCTTTATTGAAAGAAAAATTAAATAGTACTTCATAAGAAGATGTCACTTACTACAATAAGTACTAATAAATTCTGCATGTCAAAACCTAAATGACTTATTTCCATTTTCCCTTTAGCTAATAGAGTTAAAATTTGAGAAGTTTGATGTGGAGAGAGACAACTACTGCAGATATGACTACGTTGCAGTGTTCAATGGTGGGGAAATCAATGATGCTAAAAGAATTGGGAAGTACTGTGGAGACAGTCCACCAGCGTAAGTAACTTCCTTTAGCTGGGAACTTCACTACCACTGTGTGTCATTTTGCTAACAATTCTGTCCAAGGCTTCTAAAAGATTTTAATTTTTAAATTAAATGCAGTGTTTTGTACCTCCAACTGAACATGCAGAAATTGCTTAGTCCCTCTCTAGGTTTCCTCTATTTTCTCTCTCTCTGTGACTAACCCTGGCTCCAGCCCATGCTCTCTGCTGTCCCACAAGCCTCATCAGAACACTGTAACAACACCAGTGCTGGTCCCAATGCTACTGACATTGGTGTGGCACCACTAGTAATCAAAACTAGTATGTTTTGATTATAGATACTGAAGGACAAGGATCCAGCTGAGCTCTCTAGCCCCTTGGCTCATTCCTCACTTTATCTGACTCATCTTCCTCTCAGCCCTTTTTAAAAAGACAGGATACACAGACTGGGTCAGATTTTTCAGATTTGGCCTTGTAGTCCTGGTGCTCAGGAAGCAGAACAAAGCTCTTGGCAGCTGATAATCAGTGCCCTCCTATGTCCACAGGCTGTGTCAATACTGCAGGAAGGAAAGTCTAATCTGGGCAACCACCCTGGCAGCTGCAAATCCAGAGAATTCCAGTTCATCAGCCCCTTACTTTTGGTGATGTCAGACCTGGCCATCAGAGTAAACTTATTTCTGATAATCTGCCAAAGAAAGGGGAAACAATGACAAGTTTTTACTTCAAAGACCTCATTACTAAGAATTTCAAAGTCTTGGGTAATTGATATCCAATCATTGACAAAAAGTGAGCCCACCAAAGTAATAACCCAAAACATTTTATTTTTGCTGGGTTTGTTGAAGAATTGCACAATCCAGTACTTCATGAATTTTCATAGTCCTTCCAATTGTGCAATTTCTTTTTCACTAAACAACACCAAATTTTAAAACACGCCATTTACTTACTTCCCCTGTGTACTGAGGAGTTTTTCAACGTATTTTCCCACTTTCCTAATCTGACCCCTTCCATTTTGTGTAAGTGTAGTTTTCAATGAAGTCACTGGGAAGAATTTAACAATACTCATATTGACATAAACTTCAGGAATCAAGAGTTTTAAGTCATTAATGGAAACCTCAAAACACCTGTGTGTGACATGCCAGCAAAGAATCACATATTTTTCAGTATTAGTCTGGAGTGTTGTTTTTTTTTTGGTTATTTTTTTTTAAGAATGTTATTAATGCTTTTTGGCTTTGACATGTGAAAGAATGGAAATATTTTATTTTGATTTTCTATTTCAGGCCTATTCTGTCTGAGAAAAATGAGTTGCTCATTCAGTTTTTATCTGATTTGAGCTTAACAGCTGACGGTTTTATTGGCCATTATAAATTTAGACCAAAAAAGTTACCCACAACTACAGCTCTGCCTACAACCACAACAGTCCCTGCTACCTCAAGTAAGTCTTACTGGCTCTACCTAATTTCCTATAAAATTAATTATTCCAGGACAAGGAGAGAGTTACAGGAATACAAAATAGAAATTATTTTAAAAATTCAAGTTTTACAGCTTGTTAGTATTTTAAATGTTGAAGGAATTAATTAAAATTAATATACTCAAGGGAGTACTGGAATATACTCAAGGGAGAATGCACTTAACATTATTAAAGGAAATCTATCCAGGCAAGAGTTCAAAAGTAACAAAAGAGTGTAAAAGTAACTTATTCCACCTGAGAGAATTTTCCTGTCTATTCTCAATTTTGGACAGTTAACTAGCACATTCCATAGAGAAATGGAGAAACTAATTTCTGTTGAATAAAAATTTCGGAATATTTTGGGAAATAGTTTTATTTAAAGGAAATATTTCTTCTATACAAGTTGATATGTAATAATCTTATTGTATTTTTCTTCATATAGTTTTTAAGATCAAGCAAAATTCGTATGGAAGCCAACTGAGTCCTCTTCAGGTTCTGTCAAGACCCTGTCAATATGACACTCACCTAGAATAATTTTTCTTTGAAAATATTTAGTGATTTGAACTTACAGAGAAATATGTCTCACTAAAACTAAGTCTCCTTTTGTATTTAACACTAGACTGCATATATGAAAGATCAGAGCTGGATTTCTCTGAAGGTGTTGCCAAAAACACCTCATTACTAAGATATTGAAGGGATAAATTCTTAGAATTTCTGTAACCTGAATGTGAGGCATTTCAGATACAATTATAGCAGAAAACCAAATTATTTATGATGTTTTTGCAAGACATAACCTGATTTGTACTTAAAACACATCACAAATCAGGGCAGCAATGGCTTGTCAGCAGGAAACCAAGAAGCTGCAGCACTTTAATCCTGCTAATGAAGGTATTCAAAATAGGTGAAAATAAGCATTAAAAAAATGAAATCATAGTGACCTGTAAATCATTCTGATGTGACTCTAACAATAAATAATTCAGCTCTTCTTCACTCTAAAGCACTTGTTAGCGACGTTGTTGTTTGAAACACTTGGTCTCAAGTAACCCAGGCTGTCAGTAACCCTGTTCAGGGTTTTGCACAGGCAAGAGAGGTGAAATTTACCAATTAACTCCAAATCAATTTTCTTTACAGCATCAATGTTAGAAAATAAAAACATGCAGATTCATCTGAGAAAGGACAACAGAACCAAAGTGTTCAAAAGACAGTCAGGCAGACGGAAATAAGAAGTCCTTTCAAGGTGTGATCAGTTTTGCACAGTGTAGGCATTTCTGATCTTCAAAACAAACCAAAGCAAACCAAACCTCCACAGTTCAGTTACATTTCTGAGCAACCATTTGTATTCAGAAGTGTCCAGTTCAAAGAGACTGGTCCTATTATCTTGCAAATCAGATCTGTTTAAACTTGCATAGAACTCCAGGCATGAATAAAATATTAAACTTTAGTAGGCTCTTTCAAGAATTACGTCAGTCTTTATGTAACATACAAATATTAGTACTTGCAGAAATAAATAAATGCTATAAATATATTTGTAAAAGTAGCGAAGATTAATGCAATACCTGTGCTGAGGTATTTGACTTCCTTATATCATTGGATAAAGTCATGCATTTTCCTGTCAGTGTGCCTACATGTCAAGTGGTAGGCAACTAAACTTTTATTTCAGTTCTTCTCCAGTTCATGTTTTGCTAAAGTACCTTACAAACAATAGACAGCCTCTGCTGGCAAGTCATAGCAAAGTTGGTCACCAACCAAAATTTATTAAACTGAAAAAAAAAGAAAGAAAAAATTGCCCTAAAACGACCAAACAAGACTATTTTGTAATGCATAATATCAGTTTTAAATTTAGACAAATAAGAGTACCTCAAATTTTTGGCAGCTACCATGCTGGCATGCAGCTGGGACTGATCTACCTGCTGGATTTCCTAACCTCCTACTATGGACACTAACTTGAAAGACTCAAGGATCATTAAATTCTATATTTTTGGTGTGCTGTGAAATAGCACACCAAAAATAAGAAGCATTTGCCAGACCTGTACCATTGACATAGTAACTTGTTCTTTAAAACACTTTTCCTTGTGGGAGCCATTTAACTTTCTAAAGACTCAAATACCAAGAAGACTGGAGAAAAAAAAGGAACAAACCAGCCCAAAATAAATTAAAAACTATGAAGCCTAAGCTTTAAACTTTGGATTTGAAAGGAAACAATGAGCGGTGCAGATCTTCTCACAGTCATAGCCATTGCATTAAAGGCAAAGTAATTTTAATATCATTTAGTTCATCCTTAGAAACTTAGAAAATTATTCAATTAAAGAGAAGTACAAGAATAAAAGTATAAAGTACTGATTGAAAGTTAGTGATAAGTTATTTTTCAAAAATATAGGCTGAATAAAACTTTTGCAAAATGCTCCATTCTGAAGTAAAAAACTACAAAGGTACTTGTCATAACTGATTTAATTTTTCTTGGAAATTAAGGTTATGTAGGGATTTGTGGTTTGGTTTTTTTTTAAATCTGTCAGTGTCACCTCCATGTTTCCAATACCTATGTCACTAATTCCAAACAAATTTGAAAAGAACATAAAAACCTTAAAGTACTGCATCCCAAGATGTTACATGGAATGATGTACAGAGACTGTGAACATCCACCCAAGTAAGAAAAAGATGCCAAGTGTATTCAGTTATTTATAAACAAAGCATTCAATTTCAGAAAGGAAATGTCAATCCCTAATGTTAAATCCATATTTCAAACATTGTGTTTCAAACTGTCATGAAGAAAAACTGTGCAACACTACCTGACATGAAGATGTGTGAAAAATTTGGGAAAAAAGGGTCAGGAATTTGAACTCTGATCCTTTCATCACAGTGCAGTAATTTCCAATAAAAGGCCACCCCCTCCCTGGGAAGTGTTACAGTAACATCGTGCTGTGGTACTCCAGGTGTTCTGCTAGGGTATATGGCAACAGCAGTGACAGACTTCAGATGCCACACGACTCTTGAGTAACCTGCCATTCTCTCAGGCTGCTAGAACAGACACAGCTGAGACACCTGAAAAGACAGTGACTGGAGGTGACAGCAGAGAAAAGGAATATTGTTACTGTGGTGCTCATCCCCTGAAATGCCAGGTCTGGTTCATGCATACATCAGGATTATTCCTCTTTCTTCTTTTTTTTTGAACACAGTGCTTTTCATTTGTATCAAATGATTAATTTCAATTTCATTTTTACTCTTCAAAAAGCTTTGAAACCTACAGTTGCCCTGTGCCAGCAGAAGTGTAAAAGGAGTGGAACTCTGGAAAGCAATTATTGTTCAAGCAACTTTGGTAAGGAAACAAAGTTTCTTTTTAATTATCCATTCTCTACTGTGTTTTTAGATGCAAGGAAATTTTCCCAGATGTAGTTCTGGGTTTCCATTAATATATAGGCTAATATTTTTACACAAACTTATGTATGTATCTGATATTAGTATCTGTGTTTCACTCAGTACATTCTTGGAGATATTCTGAAATAGGCACTGCACAGATATCTGAGACAAACATACCTTCTCAATCTGAGAAGCAAATGACAATGTAAGACAACCCCAGGATGCATTGATTCAGTTGCTGTATTGTCATCTCCATTTTCTGTAACCAGCCAATACATGTTATGCTGCACCTGCTGACTGTTCCACAATACAGTGTATAAACTTCCAAAAATTTTTGAAAAGAAATTAGAAGGGATAGAAGCTTCCAAGCACTGCTGTCTGTACACAGACAAATCAATCAGGAAAAATGGTGTCTGCTGTGTATTAGCATGGCACTGGCACTGCTGATCTATTCAGTTATGTGTCAGGGTATTTCCCCGTATTAATACTGCAATCTTTTTTTGATCCCCTATAACATGCCTGGCAATTTGATGGGAAAACTCCCTGCCACCACCCTTTTTTCATTTTAAGCTGACTCTTTTCTTACTGTATTGCTAATCCCGTGAGATTTGAGGAGATCTGAGGGACCTGAGGGCAGCTTTTCCCGATGGTGCCCGAGCAGCAGGGGAGGCTGTGGCTGTACCCTGAGGCAGGGTGGACTCAGGGAGCCCCTCCCAGCCCTGACCACCGGCCCCTTCCAACCTGCAGCCCCACAGGCTGGTCCAACACAAGAGAAACAGGTAGGGGGAAAACCCAATCCATAAATGGTCTCCTCTTACTGACCACACCTCAGCTCTTGTGGCTCATGGTAAATGATAACACATAAAGCTTGGTTTTTCCCTCTAGCATCACAATAATAAATCACATTCTTCTTTTCCATCTTCTGTCAAATACTTGACATTTTTCAGTCTTTTCTGTGACACGAGTGAGAGTAAAAATACTTTATATGCTACTGTGAATGGAAGCATATCCTAAGGTAGGAATAGGAAGTCTGTTGTTCATAGAATATTATTTACTTGAAGTTTATTTGCAGAATTCATTATTTTAGAAAATAATAACTATTTCTCCTTCATAATGCATTTAATTTTATTGTTCCTAGAATTATAGCTGCAATACCCAGCACTTTAACATCCACAGTTCTCTCTTGATTGAGTTGGAACAGTCTATTTAATTAAAAGCTCTGCATTAGAGGAAGATAATGTAAAAATTTACAAAATCCCAAAATGTGGATTATGCAGTTTAGTAAAATAAATCTGGCTGTACCTACTTGGTAATTGAGGATCGAATTTATCCTAGGGTAGAATATCTGATGTAAAAAGATGACCTGAGAAGAAACCAAATTGTTAATACCAATTACCATTTCCTTTGGATAAATAAAGTTGGCTTACCAGTTAATTTAGTCATCCTAGGGAAAATAAAGTATCTTGATTTTCCTACTGAGAGGTCTTTGGGAGATATGTTGGTAACTAGAGATCTGTAACTACATTCAGCTGAAATAAGGAAGTTTGTATCAGGCCTCAGGTTGATCAAAATCTAGTTCTTAGGGCATTAGCTATTCCCTGCTACTCATCTGGGAGTGTCAGAGAACTGGGAATTCAGATTTTGGCTAGAGGAGTTTCAATTCAACTTCTCCACAATTTGAAAATAATTCATTAAAAGTAGTATCAAATTGAACAGTTTAACTGAAATCAGAGAACTGGGCTTGCAGGAGACTGACACATTGTAGAACAGTTTCATATTTGGTGCCACCAAAATTTGACAGTAGTGAGTTAGCTATTAGCAGTAATACTCATATTTTTAGTTAAGTGTTCCCAGTACTGTTTGTTTCCTTATTAAGCACTAATATACTTAATAAGTTTTTATGATGCCTCAAAATTTATGTATAAAAATAATAAAAATGTACCAAATATATCAAATGTCTTTTCTTCTAGTAATAACTGGAACTGTAATCACAACAGTAACACGGGCTGGCAGTCTGCATGCAACAATATCCATCATTAATGTATATAAGGAGGGAAATTTAGCAATCCAACAAGCTGGCAAGAATATGAGTGCAAAGATTCTTGTTGTGTGTAAGCAGTGTCCTCTCATCAGGAGAGGTAAGTACACAGTAATAACTGCTTTGTGTGTTTATAAAAGATAACAGTTATGAAAACTACTATTTGAAATATGGAACACAAAAATCAATAAAATTACCATGGTTTTTTTCTATAATCAGCAGTTAGTATTAAAATAAATTTAAAATAACCAGGGGTTTATTGCATTTTTCTGTTTTACTGGAAAAAGATTAGGCTCACGTAGATCACAGGAGTTTGAAAAACTTTTTTCTTTAAAAGCCACGTGATGCAAGATAAAATCTGATTTTCAGCTTCATATCTCAGATGAAGCTGAGATAGATTTTGTGTTTACATGTATGTATTTTGGAGCTAGTTTTTATATACAGTTGTTTATAAGAGAAAGACAACAGCCTGCTAAACCTAGAAGATCACATTTCTCACAGGAAATGGCAGAAATCAAGTTCCACTGTTGTGTAGCTCCTGCATGTTTTTACAGCTTCACAGAAATACTCATAGTATTAAGCCCAGTTTATATCTGCAGACAGCCAGTACTGCTAAAAGGTACCTTAAATAATTATTATACAGAGACCAACCAACATAAATTCCAGTTAATTTTGGTAAAGGTGTTAAAAGAAATACTGAGAACATTTTTTATTGAAGTAACTAAGTAAAAATAAAACTGTTTTTAGCTTTGCTCATAAGTAAACAGGTAGAACATGAGAACATAAACAGAGTCATAGCAGGAAACAGTCAATTTAATAAGCATCAAAAAACCCCTGATATCATTCCAGATATTACCAGTGCTTAAGTGTATTAACTCAAAGTGGGCAGTAACAAAGTGAACAATTATGATGAGAAGTTAGGTTTTGCCTTTAGTTATCTGAAAATTACACATAATAATTATTATTATGTGTATAATAGACATAATAATATGAAGCAAACTGTCTCCTTTTAGGCAGACTTCTGGCTCCAAACAACACACTTCTGTTTCTCATCTTAAATCTCAAGGAATCATTTAAGAGCCATTACCTAATATCTGAAGTTTTCTGTTTCTATCCCTGTGATACCATTCCTTCCAGCCCAAGACCTTGCAAATCCTCAGCCCTTCTAAGGCATAAAAATACACAGATCCAATTGAATTGTCCAAAGCCAGGTCTTACGACTCATTAAGTCCACCTTGCCTGAATGCTTCTGTATGTATCTAGAAAATATTTACATCTCTGCTGAGGGAAAGGGAATGAAGATTTAAGAGCATTATTCCTTAAGGGCATTAACCTACAAGCTGAAAAATGTGAAAATATTCAAAATTTATGAGACATATTCTACCCTGGGTGACAGTGGTTAGGTTATCTGGTGTTGATGGGCACTTCTAGTGCCTCTCATATTCCACAGTCTACGTTCAAAGACTATCCCCTATATATTTAATTATGTAGTAGACACTTAGCTGTGTATCTGCTTGATTTTTACATAACTCTAGTTTGTGTTGTAACAAGCACGGCCAAGATGGGTAAGGGAGTAAATGTTGCAGGTAGGAAGGAAAAAATGTTGGAAGGCATTGGTAACAAACAGTGAAATGAACAGAAACCACAGGTAAAGAACTATACTTACCAAATGATGTCCCAGATTTCTGTCATGTAATCTCATTCTCTCCTTTCTAGGTTTAAACTACATCATCATGGGCCAGGTAGAAGAAGATGGTAGAGGCAAAGTCTTTCCCAACAGCTTTGTCATGAGTTTTAAGACTAAGAACTCAAAGATCCTAAATGCCTTGAAAAACAAAACATGTCAAAATTGAACTCTGCAGCTGTGTTCTATCATCTGTCTTGAAAAATCATTTTAACTTAGCATAAGTCACGGAAACACAACTGACTGCCAACAGTATGACCACGCTGACCCTTCCTTCCCTCCTGTCCACATAAGCACACCTGGCACAAAGTGAAATCCATTTCATGTACAAGATGAGAACAGACCCTCCTAAGGCTGAAAGCCGAAGATTTGCAGCACAGCTATCTGATCTCAAACATACAAATTCCAATTACTTGGAAGATGTTAATTTATAACTGTCCAATTTTTTAAGGAGTTTTGTACGTAAAATAAGAATTCTAAGTGCAATATTTATAGCAACTCAATTCAACTTAGCTTTTTCTTTAAAGCTGTTTTATTACATGGATTTCTGCATTATTATCAGTGCTTAATAAAATATTTTAAGATTAAATCATCCACCAACTAGTTATTAATTATTTATAAAGTGGGGCAGCTAAATATAGAAACTGTTTTTTGATCATTTACGTGCTTTTGATGGTTTGGGCCTTGCACATTGTAACTGACACTACCCTTCCTTGCTGATTAAGGGTCTGATTTTCCTTACATGGAAGTCAGTGAATCATTGATCAGAACAGGAGCTCTTCAAAGAATTAGACAGCTGTAAAAGAGTACCACACTTTTTTTCCATTGATGACTATCTACTTAGTAAATGTCACTGTTAAGTTCTGTAAGGTGCTGAGGTAGAGGAAGGTTTAGGGGTGGTAAGTGCAAATAGAATCTAAGATCCCTTTAAGCATTTGTTTTCCTTGTATATAAATACAGACCAGAGTTCTTTGGATAATCTGTGACCATGGGCAGGAAACTAACGCAATAAAACAGTCCCTACTGGAAGTACCCATTGCTTATTCCAGCAGGGGAGTGCAGATTGCCATTCCCTTCACTGATGGATTCTCACACGTAATGCAGCTCTCGGCAGCACAACAGCCTCTCTTCCAAAGACTTTATGGGTAGCTGGGCTGGGGACAAAAGGATCAGAGGGGGGCACAGAGGTACAGAGAGGCTCTGCTGGCAGCTGACATCCAACAACTCAATGCTGCAGCCACACTTGAAATATCGCGTTGCCCGACTGACCAAACCAAACAGCATTTCTCTGTGGAACCAACAGCAACATTTTGCAAAGAAGATGTAGTTTTGTAATTTTAAAACTTTTAAATTGGAATTTTAATTTTCCAGCATTAATTCCTGTGCAGACTAAGGGATTTTATGCACAGCGCTCTGCATTTCTTGGCAGCAGCCTGGGGAAAAGCAATGTGGAAATCATGCTCGGAGCTGTCTTGACTACAACAATCTATTTTTATTTATGATGACATGCCCATCTGTCACGCAGGTTTTTTCAGTGAGGCAAGAAAGGACTGGCAGCTTACTCATCATCTGCCAAATGGAAGGTTGGGAGAGCTCCTGCCTGCTCTTCTCAATGCTCCCTTTACACCAGTTCCTTTCCCAAATCAATGCACTGGTAGCGGTAGGCCTGAAACAGGGAACAGAGGAACATGGAGCAGTGCCAGTTTTCTCAAGTAAGAGTTGGTTACAAAATACAGGTAACAACTGTTACAAGTTTTTAAACCCACTTTGTAGTGACTGTAAACTTAAAAAATTTGAAATCCAACTTGTAACCAAACAGAATCAAAATTATCTAATCACGATTTCTGAAATCTTCTGAAAGTAAGCTGACTTTCAATGATCAGTGATTTTGACCTTCCTGCTCCAAATGCATGCATAAAAATTTTCATCTCCATTTTTCATTTATCAAGGCAAAGTTAGCTACAAGACAAAACGGACATTAATATGAAAGGGAAGAAAAAACCTTTTCCAGTTTTCTAAAAAATTCTTAGTCCTTTCACGACTTGCAGAAAACTTTGCACAAGGAAACTGAGTCCTACAGCCAAGTAAACCCCAGTTTTCCCAGATTTTTTTTACATGTAAAATTTTGTTTCTGTGCCTGTCTAGAACTACTCTGTGAGTGTGCATAAGGGAGACCTTGGAACAGCCCGTATTAAGCTGTCAAATGAGAAAGCAATAGCATATTTACACACGTGAACTAGAAAAATCTAAATTATGAGAAAAAATTGAGTACAGAGCACTTGGTACTGATTAGTATCCACAAAGCTTGGAAGAGCACAGCAGCTTTCAAATAAAACAGAGATGTATAATGTGATATAACTGAGATATGGCAGAGAACAAACTTTTTTCTACCTCTCTCATTCTGCAGGTTTCTATTTCAGTGACAAGTAAAGACTCCTGAACTCCCAATCCAAAACCCCCGAGAGCCTTGAAGTGCAACAGTTCTTCCTAAGGCCATCTACACTGTGGCAGAACACAGCACCAAAGACACTGACCAAGCTAGCTCTGATGGACTCTGCTCAATGCACAAAAAGCACTCAGAAATAGCTCCATTAGCTCCTTCATTGACTGTCAACACCCGCAGGGTCCCAGAACTAACCATGAGGTGCCAAAGAGCTGATGGTGCATCTAGGATCCAACCCAGCTGGTCTGGAACCAGCACCACTTCATGGCACTGCACGAAGCCATTTCACTGAACCAAACAGGGTGGGTCCAGAAGGAAAAAGGCAGTAACACATTAATACCAGCTACCTTCCTTAAAGCTATTACCTCAACATGACAAAAAAAATACTTTCAGTGTGGTAACTGATATAACGTGTTTGCAATATGACAAATATTAATACAACTGTATTTTTCAAAGAGCTTTTATTTGCTTCCTTTCTTGAATATACATAACATACACAGCACATAGTTTTTATGTTGGTGCATTATTCAAACATGAGATCTCAGTTCAAATACAAAACTCAGAGATCCTCTTTGCTTTGAACCAGGAGGTTAACTTCCTATTCCCAGGAACAGCCAACATAGATCAGTATCCCTCTATACTCAAACACTTCTGAAAGCAGAGTATTAAAACCTAGCTCAGAAATACATAATTTCATAGTATGGAAAATATATTACCTTTACTTTTACAAGAAAGAGTTTTATAAGAATTCCTTCAAAAAAGTAAACATTCATGTAAGCCCCAACTCTGTCAATCTCCCAAAATCAACTGTAGTCAAAGACCACAATGGCTACCTGCGCCTTCTGGACACACAACCATTTCAGAAGAGCACCATCATAACAGTAAAACTGTCAATCAATACTTTAGCTGTCATAAATATACTTAATTTGTAATTAAAAATACAGGAATCTCACATTTCTCAGTTACAGTTTGTCAGCTTGAATTATATATAAGCATATAAAGCCATATAGGACTCTCTAGCACAGAAAATCCACAAAGCCCTTACTGTCCATTGTAAGCAAAGTCAGATAACCTATTTTCAGAAAACACATTATACCTGACATAAAAAAAAAAAAAAGGTCTAGCTTGGCAACAATTCCGGTAAAAAAACAGGGAAAAAGAAAACGAAATTTAAAAGTAGGATGTGTAAAACCTGTGCCAAGCAGACCTTTCTAAAGTACATCTCTCCAATGACAAGACTCAATGACCTCACAGAAAGAAGAGCAGAATGGTGTACAAGAATTGTTCAGCACTGCAAACAATAGCACTCATGTGCTTCACCTCATTTTCATGAAATCACAGGTTTTAGTAATTCACATAATTTATCTAGATTTTAAAAACCCAAGATACTAAACATTAAATGTTCACAGATTGATTTTTAAATTCTGTTCCCAATCCTAACATTGAGGCACTGCTGAAAAATCCAAGCAGGGTTTGATTGTCTTACATATAACTATAAACATTCAAGAAATGGTTGGTCTATTCTGTGTTCAAAATGTCAATGTTCCCACAAATGTGAAAAGTCTTGATGATTTGCTTTTCTGTATTCTAGAAATGTTAGTTTACAGTCAGTGTTATCATACAAAACTAGAACTGCCTCTTTCAGAGCCATACAGTCTTCACTTGCACTGTAACCTACAGTCATACATCATTTCCAACCGTGCTGGAAATTTTCTATTATTCTTTATCTGACTTTTCTATTAAAAATAAACAGGCTGGATTTTCATTTTAAAAAGCCTATCTTCTCCCACAACTTGAAAAACAAGTATCAAAAAAGAACAAACGGCAAAAATAGAAGAAAGAAACACGTTGTGCTAGTTATGAAGCTCTAACACCTGACAGCCACAGACTGAGGAACATTTAAAAAACTCCTATATACAAATTTTATATACAACATCAAGATTAAGAGGTTAAGAAAATTAGTGTATCTGTTTTTGCATTCATTTTGACCACTTGGGCACCGAGCTGCAACTCACGCAAATGCATTTTCAAATGTATTTTTGTGCAATAATCTTGCCTATATGATCTGGCAACAGAATTAGGTCAACAATTTCTCCTATGGGTATTTAAAAGCACACACCTTTTGTTTCAAAGTTAGGTCTTAGTTTCGTGGATAAAACATAGCATACTTGGAAGTTCGAAAGCCGAGCAGGTCTCTCATTTCGTTCCGGAATTTCGACAAGTCCTGCCGCAGCTCATTGAGGTTTTCCACAGTGGCCTGATCCGTACTCTGCATCTTCTGTCTCATGGAAGTCAGGTAACGGTGGACTAAGCAACACATCACCTTTTGGTAATTCTCATCTCTCTTCTGCTTCAGATTTCTCCATTCCTTTAAACAAATATAACATATTTACCATGGAAGTGATTTTTGAGCCCTAAAGCCTGTATACAATTCTACAGAGAAGAAACATGAACAAAATAACAAAGCTATTTTTAAAATACATCCTGATGTACACAAATATACACCGCATATAAATTGCCCACAAAATCCAAATTAAATTAGCTGCTGTATCAACAAAACTGAAAATTTTTATCTACCTGGCTTGGTAATTGTTCTGTAAGCAATCAAGAGTTTCATAACCCCGAACGTCTCTCAGTGCAAATTCCATAAAATGCTTGAATTTGTTTACTTAGTGCTATTTTCATCAGCAAGAAGATGCAAAATTAGTATGCAAAATTGCAGGGTACAAAAAATGTTTATAAAATAAACAAACAAAAAATCCCTTCCCTAACAATGAGAGGCTTCAGTGATCTTTTTTGGTTATTTATTCTGACACTTCTGTAATATGTTTAAAACAAATTACCTCCTCCAAAAAATATTCTAACCTCACCATTTTTGAGATTAGCACATACTTCCTTGAGGTTTCTGTGTGTTTTCATTCAATCAAAGCATTTTTTTTTCAGACTATTTCTGGGGGAATTGGGAGTTGCAGAGAAGTGGATTGAAATTTCCAAACCAGAAAGTTAATAAAACCTTACATAAGTAGAAATAAGTAACACTTATTTATCTTGGATGCAACACCCATTATTCCACAGTTCCTATTTCTCTTAGTAGCATTGACTTTCTGAGAGGCAGCTTCATGCAGCAATCTGTTTTCATTT